AAATGGGTCTTCATTACCCCCACACCCCTCGGCAACAATCCTGAACAACCCATTATACCCCCACGACTCCCCATATCCACTCTACCACCAGCCAGCACCTCCCTCACCCCTCTACTCTGTTTTTGCCACACACTCTGCCTGCACCCCTGCCCGCACCATGGTCACCCCCACTTGGTGTACCCATTGCTTACCTTGCAGTGTCGCGATCCATCTCAAGCAGCGACGCTTCTGTGTAGCTCTCTGCGCGAATATGGTTGTTATGCCAATTTGCAACGAACACCAACGCCTCAAGTTGTGCCGGTGCGATCTTGCCCTCAAGCAGGAAGGGAAGTACCTGTTGGTGTAGGATCGGAATTGGGAGACGCACACACAATGCGGGGACACAATTTCACGTGCACCAGTTGCGTGACTTCAGTGGGGCAGGCATGTGTTTGGTCACGTACAAGTGTGGGATGGGAGGGAAAGGGAGATGGAGGGGGGTGAGGGGGTTGGTGTAGCTACGGGTCCTGAAGTGACGTGGCGCATGCGGCCGGTGACCAGAGAGAGATAGAGTCTGGTTGAAATAGTGTGCACAGTTAGGCATAGGGCCTGGTTTTCAGCAACACTTACTGTCAGCTCGGCATGCTCGGCTGCCGAATAGTATGCATTTCGTGCAAAGTATGCACCCGAAGGAACAGGGATGCCGGCGAGCGTGGTGTCATCATGGATATCCGAGAGACGGCTGCATGAGTAAAAAAAGGTGGTGTCGTCATGGATATCCGAGAGACGGCTGCATGAGTAAAAAAAGGTGAATCAGGGTTATGGTCATGTCAAGCAGGGGTGCGAAAACACAAATGGACACATCTCATCCCAACAAAGGCATGACCACTCACTCGTCCAGTTCGAACGCGTTGTTCTCATCTCCCTTCAGAACATGCACCAGTCTCGCGAGTACCCCCCCATATAGAACGTGTAAGAGGTCCGGCATTTGTGCCTGGTAGGTGTTACCTGTTAGAGATTAAGGACGGAGTCTATGAAGATTAGGGGCTGAAATATCTCAAAATCGTCAACTACAATTCTGGACAGAAAAGTCGTCGTCACAAGAAACGTCGTCGACGAAAGGTCCACTGTTAGAATTCTTTCAAACTCGAGTATGTTGTAGCCCTTGACCGTGGCTATCTTTCCCAATTTGAATAGTATCAGAATATGGAGTATAACTCGAGTTATGAACTTCGGCGCACTAGGGGGTATGCTGCCATAGAAAACGTAACTCAATCACAATGATCTCACAAGTTCACACAAGAAAGTTAGAGTAGCAATAGAACCAGGTAGGAGGGGATGAGGAGGACGAGAGGGAAGGTCCCAAGAGAGTCCCCAACCAAGGAAACCCCATGCCATACAATTCCCTTCCCCATAGGCAACCCAACTTTGACCTTTGTCACTATCCCAACCTCCACAATCCACCTCAACCCAACTTGGCCACACTTGCCAACCTGGTTTGGTTTCTCCCAACCATTTGGCAGCAACTACAGTAGAAAAGACGAATTTCCCAACCCCCAAAAGTCTGTACCCCATATTGAGTCAACCCCACAACTTCCCATAGTCACCACAACCAAATATCAAAAGCATACGAACTCCAACGTTCGTAACTTTCTTGTTCGTGCTCCGATTGAAGCGATACTTGGTTCCTCGGAAAGCTCTTGAGCAGAGGAGTCACTTCAGATATCTGCTCAAGCCAAATAACATTCACACACACACTCAGAAAAACCAAACCGCACAAAACACAAATTCTTGCACACACTCACAACACGCATGCAACGCACGAACATATGATGGGAGGCAGACAGACGTGAATGCGAATGGTAGCATCACTCAACATTACCCCAATCCGTCATAGCATTGTTGAACTTCCACAAGAACGTCTGCATGTGGGAATAACACAACACAAAGTGGCTGGGCTTGTGTTAAATCAACCCTACTTGCAGTGGGTGGGTATGTGTAATAAAGTAAGGGCTATCCTAGGGGATAGGGAGTGTGGTACACGGACTGACCCCCCTTCCACCATATGATCTGACCCACACACCAGGGTGGAGTGGGTGTATGGGTGATGGTCTTACCCACTCACCACTCTGGGCTGTGTGTGGGTGGGTCCACACCACACACCATTTTGGAGTGTGTGTGTGGGTGAGCGTCTGACTTACACAACTCTGCGGACTGTGTTTGTGGGTGATGGTATGACCCACAAACCACTTTGGGGGTTGTGTGTGTGGGTCTGACCCACACCCCAGTTTGGAGTGCATGGGCATGGGTCTGACCCACACACCCCAGATTGGAGTGTGTGGGCGTGGGTCTGATGCATGGGCGAGAGATGTGTTAACGGGCCAGCCCATGCATGCATGGGCCAGAGATGTGTTAAAGGGCCAGCCCATGCATGCATGGGCCAGAGATGTGTTAAAAGGCCAGCCCATGCATGCATGGGCCAAAGATGTGTTAACGGGCCAGCCCATGCATGCATGGGCCAGAGATGTGTTAAAGGGCCAGCCCATGCATGCATGGGCGAGAGATGTGTTAACGGGCCAGCCCATACATGCATGGGCCAGAGATGTGTTAAAGGGCCAGCCCATGCATGCATGGGCCAGAGATGTGTTAACGGGCCAGTCCATGCATGCATGGGCGAGAGATGTGTTAACGGGCCAGCCCATGCATGCATGGGCCAGAGATGTGTTAAAGGGCCAGCCCATGCATGCATGGGCCAGAGATGTGTTTAAGGGCCAGCCCATGCATGCATGGGCGAGAGATGTGTTGAAGGGCCAGCCCATGCATGCATGGGCCAGAGATGTGTTAAAGGGCCAGCCCATGCATGCATGGGCCAGAGATGTGTTAACGGGCCAGCCCATGCATGCATGGGCCAGAGATGTGTAAAAGTGTGTGTTGGATCATGATCTTAGCTGCATTGTGATTCTTTGTGCTATGCCCTAAACCCTTAGTCCCTTCTTTCTTTTTGGGTACATCTACATGGTTGTGCTTTGCAGGGACTGGTTATAGACGTGATCGCACGTGTGATTTTCGTCACGCCATCCCGACTCATGAGTATGTGGCCTTCCGAAGCGGTGCTGGAGCAAGCATTTATTGAATCACCCGTGCTGACTTCAGACGTCGCGCGTGCCAACATTCACATCGCACTGCGGAACGACCCGGAGCGGCGTCGGTGGTTGAAAAGGAAGTTGGCTAAACTTCGGGCCGATACACTAGACCAGGCCCGAACATGGGTGTTTATCTTCTTTGGGCTCCCCTTCATAGTCCCCCTGTTTTCCCGTGCTCGGAAGCCGCCAATTAAGGGCAGTGCCACAACCTTCGAAAAGTTTCTGGAGGATTTCGGCGAAGGTGGGGTATTTGAAATTACCTACAACGCAGCAGTACTCTAGTTCCAACTTACCTGACCTTGGCTCCGTATTTGATATCCCTGTTGCAGATGACACAAGCCACGGTAATCTCACATGGACTCGATACCCCCACCGTGGCGGCCTTCCTTTCTCGCACCCTGCATTTGAGGATGCGTTGCACGAGTCTCTATTCAAAAACAAGCCGTATCCTGCCGTCGTCAAGCTCTACCATGTCGCATATTTCTTGCATGGGGTAAGTTGGCTTCGAGCATGCTCAGTGCGCGTCCCGTGGGTGAAGCCGTCCAGGGCAAGCCTGGGAGGGAGTGGGTCCAGGGCACACCCTGGTGTTTTCACAATCCCTTCTCACACCCCCACGCAATCCTATTCCCCTTTCCCCCTCTCCCCTATGTTTCTTGTCCCCAAACCCTCCTATGTCAGCCTCCTTGCCTATATTTCCGCCCTGTGGGTGTTTCAGTCCAGAGCTTACCTGGGAGGGAGTGGGGCCAGGGCACACCCTGGTGTTTTCACAATCCCTTCTCACACCCCCGTGCAATCCTATTCCCCCTTCCACCCTCTCCCCTCTGTTTCCTCACCCCAAGCCCTCCTATGTCAGCCTCCTTGCCCATATTTCCGCCCTGTGGGTGTTTCAGTCCAGAGCTTACCTGGGAGGGAATGGGGCCAGGGCACACCCTGGTGTTTTCTCAATCCCTTCTCACACCCCCATGAAACCCTATTCCCCCTTCCCCCTCTCCCCTCTGTTTCTTGTCCCCAAACCCTCCTATGTCAGCCTCCTTGCCCATTTTTCACGCAAGCCTGTGGGTGTTTCAGTCCAGAGCTTACCTGGGAGGGAGTGGGGTCAGGGCACACCTTGGTGTTTTCACAATCCCTTCTCACGCCCCCATGCAATCCTATTCCCCCTTCCCCCTCTCCCCTCTGTTTCTTCCCCCCAAACCCTCCTATGTTAACCTCCTTGCCCATACTTCCGCCACAGGGGGTGATTCAGTCCAGGGCTTACCTGGGAGGGAGTGGGGCTAAGGCACTCCCTGGTGACCCCTGTTTGAATCTACTCACACGCCCATGCAATCATATCCCCCCGTCCCCCTTTCTCTGTGTTTTTTTTCCCCAAGCTCCCCTATCCTAGCGTCCTTGCCCACATTTCAGCCTTGTTGGTGATTCAGTATGTGGCTTACCTGATAGTTTCGTGATGGGCAAAGGCATTCCTGCAGGTGTTCACAATCCATGCTCACTCACCCATCCTGCCATAACCACCAATCCCCCTCTCCCCTCGGTTTTTTCACCACAGGCGCTCAAATTATCGCTTCCTTGACAACATTCCAGTCCTGACGGTGGTTCAGTCCCACCGCATACCCAAGAGGGTGTGGGGCAGGTTCATTATCAGGCGTTTTCAAAATCTATTCTGACACGTCCATCTTGCCATAACCTCCCTTCCCCCTCTCACGTCCCCCTCTCTCTGCATCCCGCCGGTTTATCCATTCCAATCCTGCATGCCCTATCATCCTGCAGGTCGAGCATCGTATTATCAACAACGGTGCCGATGTGTCGCACGGTCCTGGCATCAACGGCAGGAAGGTTCGCGAGTCTCTACGGAAAGTGACGGCATGGTGCAAGGCTGCCATTATGACCCCCTCTGTCAACGGGAGCGGCCCCTGGTACAAGGCCAGTGAAAGGGCGTGGAGCTTCTCTACGACCGGAAAGATACTCATCTCCATCGACGGCATTGAAGACACGGAGGGCATCAACCGCTTTGCGCAGCCTGCACCTGTCCCGGCCCCGCAGCCGGTGCTGGCCCCTGCCGTGCAGCCTGTGCTGGCCCCTGCCGTGCAGCCGGTGCTGGCCCCTGCCGTGCAGCCTGTGCTGGCCCCTGCCATGCAGCCTGTGCTGGCCCCTGCCGTGCAGCCTGTGCTGGCCCCAGCCGTGCAGCCTGTGCCTGTCCCGGCCTTCCAGACTGTGCCGGCCCCACTCGCGCAGCCTGTGCCTGTCCTGGCCGCACCATTTGTGCCTGTCCCTGCCGCCCAGGTTGCGCCTGTCACGGGCGCGCAGGCTGAGCCCGTCCCGGCCGCACGTCCTGTGCCTGCACCGGCCGCACAGGCAGGGCCTGCTCCGGTCACACAGGCTGGACCTGTCCAGGCCGCATGGGGGGACGGCTTTCTGTTTGTATGAACATGTGTATCCTGCCACCGGCCTTGGGTTTTCTTGGCTTCGGTCATTGGCAACGATGCAATCTCAGAAAGACGCTGTTAGACATCTCTTGGTGACATGCGCAGCAGTCCGTGACCTCTCTATGCTTCGCTGCCCCATTGACTCTCTCCTTATTTTGGCTCTTTATTCTATCGCATTTACCTTTCGATGCTTCTGGAGGTTTTGTTTGTGTGTCCTCTGTTGACGATTAATGTAGTCGATCATACTTTTCTTACAGGGTATTTGAGCCTGCGCACCACATTCCCTAGCTTCCAACTCAATCGTTTGGCTTGCACAAATATGATAGGCTTGCCTGTTTTATATGCCAACCAACATACAGGGTCCCAGGTCCTTGCTCACTAGTGCGGTATGTATATATCGCCACCAGGTACAGTGATGGCTTCGGTTTAACGGTGGGTGTTTTTCGCTGACCAATCGGGCGGCTTCTCCTCACAGCCTTTGTGAGACGACTTCAATCCCCAGGCACATAAGTATTTCAGTGACCACGCTCTGAAGCAAGTCCTCATTCGTAAACAGGTAAGCATCAGGCGTGCTGCATGTCCGTTATTTGTACTTTGCTTTTCGGAGCCGTTATGCTCTGTGTGTATAGCCCACGCGGTGTGTTGTTTTTGCGCAGAAGAAGGTCTAACAGTAAATGGTACTCATGATATTACTGAAAGTGTTCCTTGTTTTCACTTTAATCATGACATTACTTCGGTCTCCTCACAATTGCTTCCACCTTAGTTCTCCTGCTTTCACCAGCATTCTCCTACCGACTCCTGGTGTCTCCTTTTTCTCCCTCTCATCTGTATCTCCATGCGGTCACCTGTGTCGTACTGCTTCCGCATTCTTCCTCCTCCGCTGCCCAGGTAATTCTACAACTCTTGAAATCTCACCCGCTTACTCCTGCTTTCCTCTCCTCCTTTCTCCATTCTCGATTTCTGTGTGCTTCAGCTTTTATTCTCATCTTTGTAATCTCACCACTTTCTTTCTCCTGATCACCGCCTCTTCCCCCTTCTCACCCTGCGTTCCCCTGCTTGCCCTTTCCCCCCCTGCTCCCCCCTGCTTCACCCTTCTCTCCCTGATCCCCCCTGCTCCCCCCTTCTCCTACTACTCCCCACTACTTGCCTCTCAGGACGTTAATACGGTGATTGCTGCTTCACAGACCAAATGCCGTGATTTTCCGATGCAGTTCACCTTTGACATGTATTCCGGGTCAACGATGATGTGCCAGTCATTGGGTCTTCGCGGGTAATATGGTTGTGACCCCCCATTCTATAGTATGTGTCGTGTAACCTCTTTGTTACGCTGCGCACGTGTGCGGTTGTGTGCAGGTTGGGCTATCGAAAGGGTCATCTTCACACGTCTTGTTGCTGCTGACTCGTCTGTAAACGACACTTCTTTTATGTGTCACCCATCTTGTGTACCGTTGGTGCATGTACGAACTATGACCCAATCCCGTGCGAATTGTGCACGCCTGCCATTTTTGGTACAATTAAGTAGTTTTCCAAGGTCAAAGAACCCATGCTTGAATAAATATGGATGAATTCAAACGTCTGTACAGTAATCTCTCCCAGCTGGAAAAGCGCCATATGCAGTTTATCGTGGTTGACAGTGGACAGGGTGACAATAGTGAGAGGTCCCCACTATGCATTTTCTGTTTATTTTGTAACAGAATGGGATCATTTAATGTTACAGATATCCAAACGTGTGTTATCACAATCGCTACAATACCTCTCCAGGAGTAGTATCACAAATTGAATCTTACTGACCATTTACTATTTTGACATTATTACCATGCAGCGTTCTCGCCTTACCGTTTATCGGAGTACACAGTACCGCATTAGCGTAAACAATGTTATTTTGAAATGTGAGTTGTTAGGGAAAGGGCATCGAAAGTGTTTCTGTGTGTTCGACTCTGGATTTCGCTCAGGAAACTTGTAGCGCGTGTGGCGGGGACGCACAGGATTGGGCCCCAAATACTCGGGGGGTCCTCCGTAGGTGACTTGTGGGTAACATTAGGATCACCTCTCGGGGTCACCTCAGTGTGACAACGAACTGAAGTTCGATCGGGGGTAACATAGGGGTATCACTGCTGGCGACAATGGGGTATCACTGTTCGGGGTAACACTGATGTGACCTTGGGGTTGAAATTCGCGGGGGAATTTTTTGGGATGGTGGCGGGGCAGCAGAAGCGCGGGGCGGTGAAGCAACTTGTGGTGGTGGTGGAGGGCACATCGCGGAAAAGGGAAGTGCGAAAAACAACTACAAACTGGCTTTTGCGTAACTTTCCAGTTGCATTCGCCGCGCAAAAAAAAAGTCTGACTCGAAAACAGTGGTAGCGTCAGTCACTTGCAAAGTGACTTTCCCGTCACATTCCCAACACAAACTGGCCACTTTGACACAATCGTGAGGTATACAGTAAAGCAACTAGGGGGGCCGAAAACGTCACTCTTGAGCAACCCATGCGAAAGTGTCACGACAACGCCACGTGGTATACGATGTACGCCAGATGAAACTGAAACATGTTGACGTGGCAGTTCCTGTACGCTAACTACAACTGTCGGATCCTGACAGTATCAACGCCCCTAAACGTGCCATGTGGACCAATCGGGCACGAAATGGGGTGCGCGGTTTTGAATTTCATTGGCCGGCGATTTGATGGTTCCGGTTGACGAATCTCCTATATTGGTGTGCGTTTTCGGTAACATTTAAAATATTATAGTCTTAGACGTTCATCTGACAGGGCATACAAATTAAACCAGTGTAAGAGCGTACAACCAACAGTAATACACTATGCATAATGCACGGCTAAGAAGCCCTGCACACTCTGCCAGGTAGAAAACGAATGTAACCTGCAAGAACAAAGGAAAATAAAGTTGGAAATGGAAACTTGATAAACAAGCAACACTATATGCTCACCTTTGGGGTTCTTACGAGTGGAGTATGCTGTAATGCTGAAAAATAAAAATAAACTGCACTCCTGGTTGACGGTAAACCTGCAAAACCAGGCATGCTCTGCAACACATGCAAACACAGCTTGCTGTTACGTATCCCGCGGACATTGCTTCACAGGGGTTAGTAGTAGCAGATTTTGCTTGACACCAGTAATACATACCCTTAGGACAGTCAATCGCGGCGGGACAAAAAACCACGACTGTGGTGCGATTACAACAGACTTAGCTGCAATCGTAAGAAGGGGTTGCATTTGTAGGAAAGCAGAAATGAACATGAGATGGCAAAAAACTAGGAAGGGGACGAGTGAGAGGGAGGGAGTGGTACCAATAGACTAAAAATCTAGCCTAACGTGAACAATGGAAACAGTAAATGCAATCGTAGGAAACTGAATAGATACGTTACGAGAGGTACTAGAACCTTACGAATTGTAAAAGTAGCTACCCGAATGGCGCGTTTACGCATGTCCACCGCGAAAACGCTTAAAGTTGTCGACCTGGAAAGGGGAATCGTCGGTTAAAAGGAAGGGGGGAAATTCCAGAATAAGCGTGATAAAGGAACGAGCTGAAAACGAGGCATACGAGAAGTTAACGTGAAATGTAGCTCCACAGAGGAGCAATGCGTTAAACCGAAGCGACACCGTAACTGGAAACGGCGAAACGGCGAGCAATACATATACAGTTGTATGTCGCACCAGGAAAATCGTGTACCTAAACAAATGGTAACTGCACGATAAAATAATTTAAAGACAGCGTCACGTGCAAGATCAGAACTGTAAACGTACCTGGCCTGTTGCGCAACAATGTCCGTCCTTTGCGCAACTCTCATGTACCCCAGCAGTGCGACGTAAATAGATGAACGGAGCTGCCGTCTGAAAAGGGGAGGGGGGTGAAAAACGGACAGAGATGCGTATGACGATTAATAAAGAAATAACGACACTATGTTCGCGCAAGGCAACATAGTCTCCACGTTCTCACACACAGTCTGCCTGTGGGCTTGAAGGAACTAGGAGTTAAGAAGGGTTGGATGAGGAGTGCGGAGATTAAGAAAAGAGTTGCAGAAGTTGAAGAAGAGAGTTGTGTTGAGTGATGCTACCATTCGCATTCACGTCTGTCTGCCTCCCATCATATGTTCGTGCGTTGCATGCGTGTTGTGAGTGTGTGCAAGAATTTGTGTTTTGTGCGGTTTGGTTTTTCTGAGTGTGTGTGTGAATGTTATTTGGCTTGAGCAGATATCTGAAGTGACTCCTCTGCTCAAGAGCTTTCCGAGGAACCAAGTATCGCTTCAATCGGAGCACGAACTAGAAAGTTACGAACGTTGGAGTTCGTATGCTTTTGATATTTGGTTGTGGTGACTATGGGAAGTTGTGGGGTTGACTCAATATGGGGTACAGACTTTTGGGGGTTGGGAAATTCGTCTTTTCTACTGTAGTTGCTGCCAAATGGTTGGGAGAAACCAAACCAGGTTGGCAAGTGTGGCCAAGTTGGGTTGAGGTGGATTGTGGAGGTTGGGATAGTGACAAAGGTCAAAGTTGGGTTGCCTATGGGGAAGGGAATTGTATGGCATGGGGTTTCCTTGGTTGGGGACTCTCTTGGGACCTTCCCTCTCGTCCTCCTCATCCCCTCCTACCTGGTTCCATTGCTACTCTAACTTTCTTGTGTGAACTTGTGAGATCATTGTGATTGAGTTACGTTTTCTATGGCAGCATACCCCCTAGTGCGCCGAAGTTCATAACTCGAGTTATACTCCATATTCTGATACTATTCAAGTTGGGAAAGATAGCCACGGTCAAGGGCTACAACATACTCGAGTTTGAAAGAATTCTAACAGTGGACCTTTCGTCGACGACGTTTCTTGTGACGACGACTTTTCTGTCCAGAATTGTAGTTGACGATTTTGAGATATTTCAGCCCCTAATCTTCATAGACTCCGTCCTTAATCTATAACAAGTGGTATCAGAGCTGATTAAGGACCTTGTGGGGAGTCTACTGAAGTGTGAAGACCCTCCTAGACCCACCATGGCCTGTGGGCGTGCCTAAGTGGAGTTCTGGAGGTTGGATGTGACTTCCGCTAAGGGGAAACTCTGCCGAAATTTCGTTGGCGCTGACACTTGTGAAGATTGTGTGGATCTACATTGTGACCAGCAAAAGGGGGAGCTGAAACCTCTGATTGGGAGCAGAGGAGATGAATCAAGGGAGTGGAGATGCAGCTGAGAAGAGGAGTGAGCCGCCACCATCCAAGATTGAAGCTTTGGATGGCTCCAACTATGAGGAATGGAGCGGGCGGATGCGGAGCGCCTTCAAGCGCTACAAGCTGCTGAAAATTGCAATGGGAGAGGAGAAGATGCCGGGGGAAGGAGATGCCCGCGATCGGTGGATTGAGAAGAGCGCGGTGCTGTACGACCTCATCCTCCAATCGGTCAACAACGACATGTTCCAGCACATCAAGGATTTGGTGGAGTTGGATGATTCCGGACCGAAGGCATGGAAGCTACTACGCGACGTGATTCAGCCCAACACGCTGCCGATGGTGATTGTGTTGGAGAAGGAGTTGGCTGCCCTCTCCATGAAACCGGGAGATGATGTGAAACCGGTCCTTGACAAGATCAAGGACACCTATGCGAGGATGGCAGCGGCGGGCAGCGAAGTGTCGCAGATGCAACAGTGCACCAAGATCATCTCGGTGCTCGACAACTCGTGGGACAACCTCATCCCCACCCTCAACGTTCAGCAGGACAAATGGACGCCTGAGTGGCTACGGCAGCAGATTCTGCAGGAGGACTTCCGCAGACGCCACACGGGAGGTGGTGCTGCCAACAAAACTGCTGAGGGGTATGGAGCTGCAGGAGGCAGCAGAGGAAGAGGGGGAGGGAGAGGCCGAGGCCGTGGGAGAGGCTTTGGCAGAGGGAGAGGCCGAGGTGACTACAATGAGGGGCATGGGAGCTCTGGTGGCAGGGGGAGCACCCGAATGGAGGGTGCGTGCTGGTACTGCAAGAAGGCTGGACACCCGTGGTTCAAGTGTTTCAGCCGGCCTGAGGGATGGGCCCCTCCAGGCATGAAGCCGCCAAGTGGTGAACGTGCACGCGGTGGCGCTGTGCAAGGTTCAGGTGCACAAGGTGATGGTGCACAAGGTAAAGCCGACCCTGGGATGTTCCTCATGGTTGAGGATGTGCAAGGGAGTGGGGGTGA